GTGGGGGGGGGGGGGGGTGTAATGAGGTGCTATGTTATCTAGCATTGGCATTGTAAGATTATATTCTCCAAAATGAAAAAGAAAAATCACGAAATAGTAAGGATCTACGAGGGAAAGGCGTGTAGTAGGCTACACTCGATCAAGGATCCTAAAAGGGGTAATAGAAAGGAAAAGGTTGAAAACGCGTGGCTTATACATGGTTGATTTACAAACAGTATATTATTACGGATTATGATAATGTTGTATATTATAATGTATGTATACTACTACCGCGTTGTAATGGCCCCGTCACATCAGAAAGGCGTTCCTATTGCGCTGCGACGGAAATCGGCTCAGAGCGTGTTAAGATTGCCTTAAGCGTGGTAGTAGGACACGCCTGACATCGCCGAGTCAACGGCATTTATTTTGGACATGCTCAAAACAAACGCCAAGGTTCGGCGATCAGTTCTGGAACGCGTTGAGAACGCCATGGGATCGAGAAGGTCGTCTTTTTCTCTTGATTTTCTCACGTTTAACGGCGACTTAGTACATTTCCAGTAGCCGTAAGATCGCAATTGGTGGCAGTCTGGTGTGACGGGGCTATGATTAATAACATACTATTTAGATGTCAAATGTCATTGTATCACCATGTTATACATTGTATCACTAGTGGCTAATGATAATCCTTAAACTTCCTTACGATCGCCATTTACCAAACCACAGTATTCATGTATATGTAAGGTTTTTTGTGATTTTGAAGGTAATTCTTTTTAATTTAGGGGCAGGACATTGTGGATGATTAAGCAACAGTGCTCCCTTATCGCGAGTTAACTGGTTAGGGTAATATTTACAATCTACTTCCTTGTTTGAATATCATTATAATGTGTCGTGTTTATTAGTTATGCCTTTTTTTTAATTCTTGGGTAGAGAGTATTAAGTCAATGCTAATCATGAACGTATCGAATTTCATATAAGTTTGTTATTGTCATGCGACACCAGGGGTGACGGTTTTGGGATCTTGGATAAACTTAAGATTAAGGTATTCTTGCACTAGTATCACTTTAGTGTCTGATATAAATTAATGATATTATTTTGTGGAAATGAATATTTATATGCCCTTAACATGAAACATGCAATCCCATGAACGTTTTTTGTAGCTCCTAGTTTGTATATCTTAGAGTTCCTCCCTAAAGGCAATCCTAAACACCTTTTCCCTAAATTAGATTTATATGTTTTTCAGATATGGATCCATACGATGCTGACAGTGATGCCGATCATCACCGGAAAATCAGAACACAGGTATGTAGGCCTATTGGATAAGCTGGGAATAGTCGAGGAACGGTGTCTGATTAGTTCTGCAAATTGGGATACAGTAACGAATCGTGTTCGTATTTTGTAATGTATTGATAACCCCGCGCAGGACTCCGTACTTCGTATTAATAATGATAATAGGCTCTAGTTCACAATACACCGTACCTCATCTATTCGTCGTACAGAATAGTAAAACTCCATTTTAATTCAGTAGTCCATCAAGGTCTAGAATAGTGGGCTTAAATTGCATTTCATTTGATTCAATTTTTCTTGTATTACAGAGAAGTAAAAAATACTACCGAAAACCAATTCATCTGGCGAGACAACTTCTACATAGCGGTAAGATAAATTACTTTATAAAACAGATAATTTGTTGTACTATTAGTGTCCAGTGCAATTTTTGTCAAGCCATTAAACTGAAATCATGTTATAGGAAGTTAGATGTGGTCTGAGGTAATGATTAAAGACAAGAGTTGTTTCCCTTTGATCATAAAGCGATGAAAACTTTCACTATTTTTTCCTCCCGCTAGAGGGCATCATATCTGTCTGGGATGACAGCCATTTCCTGTTTTGATGGAATCCTCCTGAATTTGACAGAATTCTTTGGATTACACAATTCCTTATTTCTGTAAGCCTTTTGAGATTCTTTGCATGTAGTAGTGGTTGCAAATTTTTTGATTTTCATGTATGCCTGTCCTTATGTCAATAATTGCTAATGTTGTTTGTCAAAGAAATTAGAAATTGACAAGTGATGTCTGTTCGATTTTTTTCGACCTGTCCGAATTGATCAATTTTATTTTATGAAACTGTAACTAAATTCCTTTTGGATTCAGCTTTTAATTTTTTTCTCATTGACGCCTTTTACTTTTACAGCTAGTATGTCACTATGTGCACTAATCTAAAAACTAAATAAAATATCACACAAATAGAAAAAATCATTATCAGTGCAAAAAGGAACTTAACTAAAACTAGTCCTACTGACACAAATTCATAAACAGTAACTAGAGTAAGGCTACTTCTAGAAATTTCTACATCACTAACCACAGTTATGCATGAATATTCTGTCCACAAGTACCTGAGGTTTGGATCCTATATAATAGGTAGAATAGGCTTACTTAAGTCAAACTGCTTTTCAAAGTGGAATATCGACCCCTTTATGGTATTGATAGGCTAGTCAATAAGATTTAAAGGGAATGCAAGCCATTGCTTGATATTAGTTGCAGAGTCAGGTGTCCTAGAAGTGTGAGCAATATATTTGCCTTTGGCTGCTACTAATTTAGCACCGATAATTCCAAACAACTTTTGTAGCTAAGATTACACTTAATGTTCATTAAAGAATTACCATAGCTGAAAAGGCCTTTTTGATATGGTCTTTTCAACATATTCTGTAAAAAATATGTTTGATTTTTCATTCCATTACCATACAGAATTGGCAGTGCTGATCTATTTGACACATATCTATAGAATGATTCATCATTTGATTTTGAGAATGTGACAATAAAACTAGACCTTTAAACATACAGTTATTTAAACCACACCCCTTATCAATACCGGTAGTCATTTAAATAAAAAGTAGGACTTTAAACTCCATTTTGAAAATTTTTTCCTCACTTAAAATCAAATTAGCCAAGGCTAACACCGCACCTTTTTGAGAACACTATTGATATGACCACAGCAAAATTTTTATAACGTGCAAGAAAGATTTAATCGCTGTAAGCTTATACACAACAGTCAGCACTGATAAATTCTTTAATTGTTAGTATCATTATCATTAAATCTGACAAACGGATCCAAATCAAGAAGCATATATGTAATGTTGATTGGTACAAATGTAATCAAATCCTGTTGAATACTCCAGAGTAATTAAGCCAGTAGTTCGTTATGAGGTTGACCTTTTGTGACCTTTATTAGTGGTTGACTCTATCAATAATATATGGCTTATTTTGTTATTATTACATCTGTCTTAATCAGTGGACTACCCGGTCAGTTTTGACAGTTGGCAGTATTTTTGGATTTGGTTTTAAGGGTTTTGGTAGGAGTATTTTTGAAGGCTATCAAACTTTTGTTGTTTATAAGCTTAATACTCAAGGTTAGCTAATTTGTTTATTGTTTTTGATAAATCACATCATTTCACTAATTAGGTTAGTTTTAGATTTTTAGAAAAATTTCGAGTGTTTTCATGTGTCAGTGGATGCACCTTCTCTATTTATTTTTTTCCAGCCTCTTATGAGACTACATGATGTTGCCAATCCTCATGAGCTTTATGAACTCAATTGTATTATACGATATAAAAGATAGTAAAATCTTCTATGGGTATGGGCATGAGCACTGTACAAATGTACTTTTATAAATTTTGTATATTTTCCACTGTACCTTAAGGGCCTATCTCACTGGCAGAGACAGTGCTGATGGTGAAGTCTTTGTGACCTTTTGAAGAACATGTTTGCCATTTAGTCTCCAGGCCACATATTCTCTAAACGATCTTAGCACTGGGATGTCCTAGAATCTATGATAGAAGATAAGAACCTAGGACATACTAGTGCTAAGATAGTTTCGATAATATGTGGCCTGGAGAAATTGTAGAGATGTTTCCCAACCAGCTGAACCTCGAGTGGCCAACTGGTTGCCAACTAGCCTCCAGACCAGTGAGATAGGCCCTTCATATACATTTAATTAGATTAATATTATTTTGATCTCATGGAGGAGCAGGAAAATAAGATGAAAACGCCATTTCTTTAATTTCTTATCTTTTTATTTCAGTGACCACTGCCAGTGAAAGTTGTGATTATTCAGATACAGGAAGTGGAGAAAATGATGATTTAATGATGCCACGACCTGGTAGTTCCAGTGATTCCAATGACGTCTCGTTACCAAGGGAGACGATTCATAGCAGTCCTGTAAATGGAGCGACATACATTACTCAATCACCGTCTAGAAACAGTCTAAACCAACATGGAGGTCAGTGACTATTTTATGTTGAAATTTTTTATAAAAGATATCAGACCCCTTTGCCTGTCAGGGATCCTTGACTACCTCTATTTTTCTGCCAAATGTTCTTTCCGAATTAAACCACTAAAAATTTGGCGATAAAAAGATTTCTATCTTAAAATGGTAAAATCTCCCCCTGTACCCCACTGGGAACCTGTGACCCCCTTGATCCTGAGCTGATACTTTCCATTTCATTTAGATCTTTTTGTTCCTCACTAAGATCCCTGACCTGCGTAAAAATATAGTAGTTAGATTTATAAACATGTGATTTTCGGGTGTGTCTGGAAAATCATGCGATTATGTTGGGTGACCTGCTTACTTAGTGTAGGCCTGTATATATATTTTTGGCTTTGTAATTCATTTCCACATTTCCACTTTGAATGATCCAGGATGGCTATTGGACTCACTTCATGTCTACCTTTCATCCAAGGCTACCAATATTTGAGAACCAAAATCCATTTTCTAAACCTTTTTTTTATGTTTTGGGAAAGTTGATAAGCATTGAACACACCATTCCAATTCTCGGACGTCTGTGGTTCTTGCAATTCCATTAACATAAAGCATTATTATGAGGTCACTGTCGCGTCTCGCAGAATTAAGAAAATTGATGCTCTCAGTGTTCAGAATACACATAAAAGTATAGAAAACCTTTTAACATTACCTTTGGTTGTATTATTATGCAAAAAGGAAAACTTGTGAATTGTAGAAAGCTAAAAGAGGACTCAAGGCTACCTTGAATCTAACAGAATCTGAAGAACGTCTCATAGCAACAGGCTCTATCTGGAAAAATATGTTTTTTATAGTTAAGATTTCTAATTGATTTGAGTAATTAGGACTCTGAAATAATGAATTCAAATTGTTATTTAAAGTCTTAGTAATATTAGCTGATTTATAGATTATTACTGGTTGAAAAACATTGATCTGTCACAGATGTTTCTTAACGTCAGAATTTATTTCATTTGCTTGATTTTATTATACATATTATGCTTCTGGATTTAATAAGAACTGGGTGTGAAAACTTTCGAAGATTTCAAATTTCTTTTACAAAGAATTGAAATCAATTCAAGATATATATATTATGGTTTTTGTTTTGAAAGGATTGTAAGAATTGAATAGAATATGAGTTCATTTAAAATTCTGTTTGCGATGTTTGTGGGAGTCGATTATAAAATAGCTGGGATATTACTTTCAATGATTTAAAGGTGCCCTCACATCCTAGCGATTACCAGTTGCGTATAATTGCAAAAATTGGAAGTGGTCAAGAGTTCTGAACACAAAACATAACTCAGTTATATGAGAGTTGTGTTCGAAACTTGTGACCGCTATTCTTATTGGCAACCAAGGGTGATAACTATGGTGTGAAGGCTCTCTTAGGTTTGTAAGCATTAAATAATAGAATATTACTGTTGGATGTGTATTGGTAATAACCTTGGTGATGATACTTCTCTGTGTTTGGTTGTGAAAATTGAAATTATTTGTTTTAATTGTGGTTCTTGAATTATGGATATTTTGAACTTCTGGGACACAATGTCAATAGCGTATCGTAATATGGAATTTTAAATTGTTTCATGTTGTAAGAAGTTGTTTTGATTGGACTGGAACTCATCTGTGTTTCGGGTATAAAATACTCATCAGGCCAGCTAGTTTTGTTAGCTAATTGACTGGAGCTTATCTCATACTGCTGACACATGTTTCAGATACACAATCCTCATCAGGACAGCTTGTTTTAGAAATGGGGCTTAACTTTCCAATAGTGGACTTAAATGTTAGATTAACTAGAGCTCATCTTAGGCGGCTATCATGTTTCAGATACACAATCCTCATCAGGACAGCTAGTTCTGAAAATAAAGGATAACTTTCCAATGTATGAACAGAGTATGCAAACTGACTAAACCTTACAGATTAGAAAGAATTTGAAATATTCTTATTAATTTGTTTGTAATGTTAGTTAAAATAAGTTATTTTTATCACTACAACAGCTGTTAGCTAACATTAACAATTGATTAGTAAATATTTCTTAGTAAACAAAGAATTGGGTAAATCTCAAAACAAGTACTGATATAAACTATCTGCATATCCTTATCTAAAGCCACTATTGTAGAAATTTAGTTGGCATTTATGATAATTTTGATATGAAATGTTACTCCAATGTAGACAATGCTTCGGTTTTTTTTTGGTTTTTTTTTTTTAAATAGAACTGAAAAGGGGTTACACTAAAATCCATAGTGAAATAAATCATATCCTGAGAGGGATATCTGATTAGCTCCCATGATAGATTAAATGATATTACTTATATTTTTGGGATGGTAATCTACAAGGGATATACTGACTGGTACATACAGTCAAATCAACAGTCTAGAGCTCTATTCAGACGTGACTGGTACATGCAGCCTAATCAACAGTCTAGAGCTCTATTCAGACATGACTGGTTAACACAGTCAAATCAACAGCCTAGAGCTTTAGTCAGGCATGATTTGTAAAAACAGCTAAATCAACAGCCTAGAGCTGTGCACAGTCAGACATGACTGGTTTGTTTATACAGTCAAATCAACATCCTATGTACTATTATCTAAGCCAAGTGTCAGTTTACCTGTATAATATGAGAGGCTGAGTACATCACTTACTTAATCTGTAATCTGTAATGATAGGGGTGTTTATTGTTATCATACTTAAATAGCTAGGTGGGTGTTAGCTTTGTTAAGTTTCTACTTTCACTAGTTTTAGTTTATTTGCTGGACCCACAGATTTCTGATTGAAAATTAGAATGGTGCAAATTGATGCTTTCAGTGATCCCGAAACACATAAAATACAGAAAACCTGTGTACAATCCCTTTAAGTTGAATTTCAAAGTATTTAAAACCCTTTAGATATTTAAAGTTGTTTGTATCTGGTATATTTATTTTGGTATTGCGTATATAGAGCTGTATTATTCAACATAATGTTGCCCTACAAAATAAAATAGGGGACACAAACCAAAATCATTGATGCAGTGTTACTTTTTATTAGAGGCGATGAAAATATAGGGATTTTGAATCGGTTGGTTTCACTTCAAAACTTTTATTTAAAATCTAACTTTTGATTCATAGATGTATAACAAGCCAAGTTAATGTTGTGATTTTATTTTCTCTATCATGGTGAAAAATTGCAATTTGCTTTTGAGGATAGTTGAGGAAAGACCAGGTAAATAAAAAGTTTGTTTAATAATATTTTATACCAAATAAACTTAAGTCTATATTTAATATTCATTGTGGTAAATAGACATTAGCTATGTGAACTCTCTGAAACAGATTCTCAGTTGACAAACCCAAATAAACATTATTAGCTATGTGGACTCTCTGCAAGGTATGACTACTTGACAAACATAAATAAACATTATTAGCTATGTGGACTCTCTAAAAGGGATGTTAAGTTTACAACCCTAATCGTAGACTGATATCAGTTGTTATGGAAGGGTGCTCAAGCTTTGCGTTACTAGCGACATCTGTAGTATTAATACATACATTATAGAACATGTACTCAATAGCTTTAAAACTAATGGGGTTTGTATATTTGATAAGGCATCCTCTCGCGCTGCCAACGCATTGGACTCTTTGAAAGACGATAAAAACAATTACAGGGTGGCATCAGGTTTTATCTGCCTTGTAAACACATTCCACCGCAAAAGTTTTAGTTCAAATTCAATAAGGATTTTTATATGACAAGGACTCATCCCCTGCTGCTGTTTTGGGTATGAACACTTCTGAGTCTTCATCCAGACTGGATACACTCTATCTGTATGGTATTTTTTATAGTATAAGTTTATTGACAGTATTAGATAAGCTATGATCAATAAACTATAACCTCAGGCAAAAACATATTGAAAAAATACAAATTGATATATGGGCATTGAGGGTCAAATTGGTGACCTTTGACCTAATGACCTAAGAATATTTTATGATAGAATATAGGTAATTACCTGTTCTACTCAATTAACTAGGTATTTCTATTTTCACAACTGACATACTTTTAATCAAGCCTGAATAATCGGTTTTATTTGAGGTGAAGTATCATTTTTAAGTGTATTATTTATCTGTCATTTGTAGTAGAGAAACAATTTAGAAAGTCTGTCAATTGAATGTTCAGATTTAAAGCCATGATACCACTTTCACAAAAATATATCAAAATTTATCTTTCGTTGTAAAAATTAACTTGTAATTTTCATTCTTGGCAATAGATTTTAATAGGAAATGGAAATTTTGATGCCTTGGTTGGTACAGGCAATGCAACAGCGTACATCCATGACAGTGTACAGCAATGGCTTACAACACTGTACACAAATGACATACAGCACTGTACAAAATGGCAGTGTACAACAATGAGATACAATAGTGTACAACAATGACAGACAACAGTGTACAACTATGATGTACAACAGTGTTCAGCAATGAGATACAACAGTGTACGACTATGATGTACAACGGTGTACAACTGCAACTGTACAAGTATGATGTACAGTAGTGTACAGTTGCAACAGTGTACAACTATGTGTCAGCTTGTATTGACTGAGGACCACAATGACACTGTATGTTTGAAGATAGTATTTACTTAGTATTTATAATGAATCAAGTTATAATGTTATCTGTTACATTATCAGTATATCAGCGTGTGGTTATCAACTAGTCTTGTTGATTTTATACTTTCAATTTCATGTCAGTTTCTATAGTTATTGTGTAATAGGTCTGTACTATTTCTGCAATTATTAGAGTTCGTCATATGCAAGTGAGGTTTGTTTCTTGATAAATTTGTATAGTATTAAATTTCAAAATTTTCACTACTAAGAACCAGCTGGAAGCTTGAAAATCTCAGTTTATATTTCGGTTGAATGTTGCTCTTGGTTTTAATTGAAGTATTCGTGTCCTAGGGGTCTTATTTGTGAAAACTTAACTAAGATCTAATCTTGATTTATATCACAAATTCCCAAAAAGGGAAAAACAATTAA